CTAAGTCTACTGAAACCATGAGCAAAAATAAGCCTCTCCTCCTTAAAGTTTCGGTTGTCAGGTATTTTGTTCCAGAGACAAGGAAAGTGACTAAGACACAGGAATATAGTCAGCAAACTCAAGACAGAATAGAAAGAGATAATATACAGGAGAATGTGAACATTAAAACAGACTTAAAAAGACATGAAGACATGCCAACCAATCATATTATATTGACTTTATGTGGATCCTGGTTTTAAACAAACCACAAATAAATTGAACATTTGTAATATTTATAAGATGATATCAGACTGGAACAAGGATGCAATGTTTGACAACATTAAGAAAATCTAGTTAAATTCTTTAAGATGTAAGCCAGGCAAAGTGGCATAAGCCTGTAATCTCAGCTCTCTGAAGCAGGAGGATCAAAAGGCTTGGAGCACCCTGGGCAATTTAGCAAGAACCTTTCTCAAAATTTAAAAGGATTTAGCTCATTGATGCCACCGCCTGCCTCCCAAGCCCAAGGCCCTGAGTGTAATCCCTGGTACCAAATAAAATAAAATAAAATTTAAAAGGAGGCCAGAGATGTAATTGAGTGTGAAGGCTGTAGATTCAACTCCCCGGTTGAATAAACATGAACTGTAATAGTGATATGTTGGCTACTTTTGGGGGGAGTAATATTGGGAATGCAATCCAGGTCCTTGTGCATGCTAGGCAAGTGACCCATCATGGAAACCCATCACCTGCCCTGTTTTAAATTTTTAATTTGAGACAGGGTTTCATTAAATTGCCCAGACTGGCCTCAAACAGTAATCCTCCTGCTTCAGCTGCTGAGTAGCTGGTGTTACAGGTGTGCACCACCGTGCCCAGATGGCTATAGCACTGAAAAAGAGAGTCCTTAGCTGGTCACAGTGGTGCATACCTGTACTCCTAGCACTGGAGAGGCTGAGGCAGGAGGGTTGTGGGTTTGAGGCCAGCCTGGATTACATAACAAGACTGGCTGGAAAAAAAAAAAAAGGAAAGAGAGAGATCTACAGAGCCTTTACCTTTTCGATATACATATTAAAGTATTTAAAAATAAAGTAATATATGTGGAATTTTTTTTAAAAAGTTGAGTATAGCTAAAACAAGATTGGCTATAAATTGATAATTATTGAATCCCATTAACTAATTTCTCCATTTTTGGCTTTGTTAAAAATAGCTTTACTAGGGCTGGAAATTTAGCTCAGTGGTTCCACTGCCTGCCTCACAAGTGCAAGGGCCCAAGTTCAAGTACAAATGGCAGGCTTCCCTTCTTTTCCAAGGCTCAACAATCTGCCATTGTATGTCTATACCACATTTCCTTCCATTTTCTTCATCCATTCATCTCTCAGTGATCACTGGGCTGTTCCTACATCTTAGCCAATGTGAATAATTCTGCAAACTATGCAAAGTACCCAGGGACACACATGCTGCTTCCGATACTGGTTTGTTTGGTTAGATATGCCCAGGAGTGGATATGCTGGATCATTCCTAAGAAATTCTTTCCTTCTCTTTCTGTTCTTTTTTTTTGGTGGGTGGGGAAGTGTTTTGAGACAGGGTCTCACTATGTAGTTCAGGCTGGCCTGGCTCACTATGTAGCATAGGCTGGTCTTGAACTAGCAGCAATCCTCCTGCCTCAGCCTCCCTAGCACTGGGATTGCAGGCATGTGTGACCATGCCTGACTCTTCATCCTTTTTCATAGCCACTATACCATTTTACATTCCCACCAATGGTAACAGGGCTCCAGTATCTCCACAGCCTCACCAATACTTATCTTCAATGAGATGGTACCTCATTGTAGCTTTTATTTGCATTTCCCTAATACCTACGTTCAAGATCTTTTCATGTACCTGTTGGCCGTTTATATGTCTTCTTTGAAAAAGAAATGTCCACTCAGCTCCTTTGCCCATTTGTTAATTGGGTCATTTGTTTTTTTGCTATTGCATTGTAGGAGCTCCTTTTATGTTTTGGAAATTAATCCATCGTCTGATACATGGTTTGCAAATATTTTATCCCATCCCATAAATTATATTTTCACTCCTTTGCTGTGTGGAAACTTTTTAGTTTGACATAATCTAATTTTTTTACTTTTTGTTTCTGTCTGTGCTTTTAGCATCACACCCAAAAATAATTGCCAAAACCAATGTCAGTATCTATACTTTCTTCTAGTAGTTTTACATTCACGTCTTACAGTTGAACAATCCCCTTTGAGCTGCCATCTGTGTATGGTGTGAGGGAGGGGACCGATTTCTTGCTTCTATGTACTTGATCCAGTCTTCCCACTCCCATACGTTGAGGAGTCTATCCTTTTCCACTGTGCATCCTGCTCATCAGAAATCAGGTGGCCACACATGCATGGGCTTATTTCGTTGTTCTATTCTGTTTGATTGGTTTATACATCTTTATATCACTGCCATACTGTTTTCATTACTGCAGATTTTATAACATATTTTGAAATCAGCAAGTCTACAACATAGATGAACCTGAAAGACATTATGCTATATGAAATAAGCTAGCCAAAGAGAACAAATATTGTAGAAATTTATATATAGTATCTAGAATAGTCAAAATTAGTTGGGCGTGGTAGCACATGCTTGTAATCTCAGCACTCTGGGAGGCTGAAGCAGAAGGATAGCAAGCTCAAACCAAACCTAGGCATCTTAGTGACTTAGGGAGGTCTTGCCTGTCCTCTCAAAAAAAAGTCAAAAGGGCCGGGGATTTAGCTCAGTGGTGCTGCCACCTGCCTTGCAAGCACAAGGATCTGAGTTTGATCCCTAGTACCAAAAAAAAAAAAAAAAAAAAATGTTCATTGAGCTATAATTTATGTAACAACCATGAGCATGCAATTTAATAATTATTGTAAATTATGGATTGTACAACCATCATTCCCATCCTGTTTAGACTATTACCATCGTCCCCAGAGTTTCCTTTGAGGTCCTGTGGTCAGTTCCCACTCAGGCCTGGACAACATGGAGTCCACTTTTAGCTTCTGCAGATGTCCCTTTCTGGGCATTTCAGTCACATGGAGTCAAATAGTAGGTAGTCTTCTGCATTTCTTACACTGGTATCTAAGTTAGGTATTTTCTAGAATAAAAACAATTTTTGTTAAACAATGAATTGTATCTATGTAGCACTTTACTTCTTGGAGCAGTCTTAGATTCCTGGAAATACTGGAAGAAGGTACAGAGTGTTCTCATGTCCCTCTGGTCCCCCACATCCTCGGCCTCTTCCAGTCAACAACCCCTCCGGAGCACACACTTGTCACAACGGATGGGCCAGACCACAACTTACATTAGGGCTCAACGTGGGCTTGTGCCTTCCTTGGGCTTTGGCAGATCTGTAGTGGCACAGGTCTGCCACTCTGGTGTCACACAGAGGGGCTTTGCTGTTTTACAGGGCCTCTGAGCACTACTCACGCAGTCACCTGCACAGTGCTGCGGTCAAGCTGGGGCAGTAGGTCAGCTGACGTTTCCTGCAAACTCTACAAATGGTCCGTGTGTGCATGCGCGTTCGTGCTCACGTGTGCATGTAGAGGTCTCCCCAGGCCGGCCTGTGGAAGGTGTGAACAGGAGGAGGTGCATAGAGGAGGGGGTGAAGTCCTCTGGGCCTGAGGTGTGCTTGTGGTATGGGGGCGCCAGAGCACAGTTGTGTGTTCCTGTTTCCCCACAGGCCCAGGGAGTCAGTAGCAATCTCTTTATCTTCCCTTTGTATTTAGCACTTTACAAATACCATTGGGAAAAACAAAATACTACTGGAGCCGGACGCCGTGGTGCATGCCAGTAAAGCCAGCACTAGGGAGCAAGTTCGAACTCAGTCTGGGCAATTTAGCAAGCTCTTGTCTAAAAAAGGGACGGGGGGTACTGGGGATGTAGCTGAGTGGTAGGTACAGTGCTTGCTTAGCATGTGCGAAGCCTACGTTTTGCTTCCCAGTAGTACCAAAAATCAAAACAAAACAAAAATAAAGCCATGTCTTGTGTGTGACCCTACACTTGGGTCTGACCCGATGGCTGAGTAGTGTTCGGATTGAGGGCTGCCGAAGGAAGGGTGTCGGCTAGGCCTGGACGGTGGCAGAGGAGGTGGCCCGTGTGAGGTTCCATAAATATTCGGGAGAATGTAGGGAAGAAAGATTGGGGTCCAGGAGGACTCGCAGGTTTAGGCTCAGGTAGTTGGAATTCCGAGATGTCTTTTTTGTTTTGCTACGACGGATTGAACTCAGGGCCTTCACAGCGGGTTATATCCCAGCCCTATTTGGAGATAGGGTCTCGCTAAGTCGCCAATTTGGCCAGACTGAGTTCGAACTTGCGTTTCTCCCCCCTCAGCCTCCTACAGCGACCGGATCAAGGCGAGCCTGTCCTTGGGGGGCG